GGTGGGATCATAAAATAGAGAAAGTCATAGAAATGATAAAATTAAACTGCTCTGGGACTTCAGAATTCAAACAGACAAGCACCTGCAACATAACACCCCAGACTTAACAATTGTCGATAAGAAAGACAAAAAAGTCTGGATAGTGGACGTGGCAGTGCCTGGAGATAGCAGAATAGAAGAGAAAGAACTGGAGAAGATAACAAAATACAAAGACCTACAAATAGAAATAGAAAGACTGTGGCAAAAGCAAGCAAGGGTAGTACCAATAGTCATAGGCTCCTTGGGTGCAATCCCAAAACAACTGGAGCACCACTTGAACACCATTGGCATTGACAAATTCGCTATTAGTCAATTGCAAAAGGCGGCCTTATTAGGAATGCTTCCATCCTGCGACGATATCTGTAATACCATCAAACAATCCAAATATGCTATCGCAGGTCCTGGGTTTAAGGACTCGATAGGGGGAAGACAAAATGCCAAATCGGCTTGAACATCTGGCCTGACTGGGCGATGAAGGATAATATAATTAATAACAAGGAGGAGAAATTTGAAAGTGGTAAAACGGAAAACCTACCTAATAATGGAAAAATCAGCAAAGGGGCAACACCAGGCAACTACAGGCCAATTACCTGCTTACCAACAATTTTCAAATTACTAACTGGTGTGGTAGCTGATGCAGTACAACAGCATCTAGTTGAAAACAATCTCTTTCAACCTGAGCAGAAAGGAAACCACCCCAATAGCAGAGGAACAAAAGATCAACTCCTAATAGACAAAATGATCTTGGAAAACTGCAAGAGAAGGAAGACCAACCTGAATGTGGCATGGATTGACTACAAAAAGGCATTGACTCTCTGCCACATGATTGGATAATAAAGTGCCTAGAAATAACAGGAGTCAGTAGAAACATCAGAAAATTGGTGCAAAGATCGATGGCACAATGGAAGACACAGTTGCAGATCAATGGTGAGAAGCTGGGAGAGGTTAATATCAAGAGAGGGATATTTCAAGGAGATTCATTATCACCATTACTATTTGTTATTGCACTGTTTCCTCTGTCAACAATACTGAATAACTCAGGAAATGGCTATCAAACATCAAAAACATCTGCTAGACTATCCCACCTCCTTTACATGGATGATCTGAAGCTGTATGGAAAAACATCATCTGAAATAGAATCGCTGCTCAACACTGTCAGTATATATAGCCAAGATATTGTAATGGAGTTTGGCTTGGACAAATGTGCCACACTTACTATCAAACAAGGAAAAATAGTGAAAACTGAAGGAATCAAGATGCCCACGAAAATAACATTAAGAGTCTGGATGAGGAAGAGTACTACAAATACTTGGGTATTCTTCAAGCTGACAACATCAAGCACACTGAAGTCAAGAAAAAGATTAGAAGTGAATACATCAAGAGAGTGAAGAAGATCTTAAAGTCCAAACTCAATGGAGGAAATACAATAAAGGCAATCAACACCTGGGCAATCCCAGTCATTAGGTACACAGCTGGAATAGTGGACTGGACTCAAGCAGAACTAAAAGCAATGGATAGGCAGACCAGAAAAATAATGACAATGAATCAGGCCCTTCATCCACGCAGTGACAGTGATAGACTTTATCTACCAAGGCAAATAGGTGGGCGTGGAATGCTACAAGTACATCAGATGGTTGAAGAAGAAAAAATGACTTTGGAAGAATATCTGAAGAACAATGATGAAGATGCACTGAAATTAGTATATCAGGAAGGCTTACTAACTACTGGAGAGACCAAACTGGCCTACAAGAAAGACCAAATGAACAACAGAATAGAGGCATGGGAAGACAAAGACACTACATGGCCATACATGAAAAAAAATAGTGGGAAAAGCAGATAATAAGAAGACCTGGCAATGGCTAAGAGCAGGAAATTGAAGAAAGAGACCAAGGGACTAATTCTGGCTGCACAAGACCAAGCCTTAAGGACAAATGCATATAAAGTCAAAATTGAGAAGACAGCAACAGACAGTAAGTGCCGCCTATGCAAAGAAGCTGAAGAAACAGTGGACCACTTGGTAAGCTGTTGCAAGAAGATTGAACAGACTGATTACAAGCAGCGGCATGACAAAGTAGCAACAATGGTGCATTGGAAGATCTGCAAAAAATATCATTTGCCTGTAAGCAAAAACTGGTGGGATCATAAAATAGAGAAAGTCATAGAAAGTGATAAAATTAAACTGCTCTGGGACTTCAGAATTCAAACAGACAAGCACCTGCAACATAAAACCCCAGACTTAACAATTGTCGATAAGAAAGACAAAAAAATCTGGATAGTGGACGTGGCAGTGCCTGGAGACAACAGAATAGACGAGAAAGAACTGGAGAAGATAACAAAATATACAAAGACCTACAAATAGAAATAGAAAGACTGTGGCAAAAGCAAGCAAGGGTAGTACCAATAGTCATAGGCTCCTTGGGTGCAAGCCCAAAACAACTGGAGCACCACTTGAACACCATTGGCATTGACAAATTCGCTATTAGTCAATTGCAAAAGGTGGCCTTACTAGGAACTGCTTCCATCCTGCGATGATATCGGTAATACCATCAAGCATCCACATCTGCCTATCCAGGGTCCTGGGTCAGGACTCGATAGGTAGACAAAATGCCAAATCCAGGGTTCTGAAAACTGGCTGACTGTGCGATGCGTAAAATGATAATATATAATACAAGGAGGAGAAATGAAAAGTGGATAAACAACTGGGAAACCTACTAATAATGAAAAATCCAGCAACAGGGGCAACACCAGGGAACTACAGGCCAATTACCTGCTTACCAACAACTTTCAAATTACTAACTGGTGTAGTAGCTGATGCAGTGCAACAGCATCTAGTTGAAAGCAATCTCTTTTCACCTGAGCAGAAAGGAAACCGCCCAAATAGCAGAGGAACAAAAGATCAACTCCTAATAGACAAAATGATCTTGGAAAACTGCAAGAGAAGGAAGACCAACCTGAATGTGGCATGGATTGACTACAAAAAGGAATTTGACTCTCTGCCACATGATTGGATAATCAAGTGCCTAGAAATAACAGGAGTCAGTAGAAACATCAGAAAAATTTGTGCAAAGATCGATGGCACAATGGAAGACACAGTTGCAGATCAATGGTGAGAGGCTGGGAGAGGTTAATATCAAGAGAGGAATATTTCAAGGAGATTCATTATCACCATTACTATTTGTTATTGCACTGTTTCCTCTGTCAACAATACTGAATAACTCCAGGACATGGCTATCAAACATTAAAAACATCTGCCAGACTATCCCACCTCCTTTACATGGATGATCTGAAGCTGTATGGAAAAACATCATCTGAAATAGAATCGCTGCTCAACACTGTCCGTATATATAGCCAAGATATTGTAATGGAGTTTGGCTTGGACAAATGTGCCACACTTACTATCAAAACAAGGAAAAATAGTGAAAACTGAAGGAATCAAGATGCCCCACGAAAATAACATTAAGAGTCTGGATGAGGAAGAGTACTACAAATACTTGGGTATCCTTCAAGCTGACAACATCAAGCACACTGAAGTCAAGAAAAAGATTAGAGGTGAATACATCAAGAGAGTGAAGAAGATCTTAAAGTCCAAACTCAATGGAGGAAATACCATAAAGGCAATCAACACCTGGGCAATCCCAGTCATTAGGTACACAGCTGGAATAGTGGACTGGACTCAAGCAGAACTAAAAGCAATGGATAGGCAGACCAGAAAAATAATGACAATGAATCATGCCCTTCATCCACGCAGTGACATTGATAGACTTTATCTACCAAGGCAAATAGGTGGGCGTGGAATGCTACAAGTACATCAGATGGTTGAAGAAGAAAAAATGGCTTTGGAAGAATATCTGAAGAACAATGATGAAGATGCACTGAAATTAGTATATCAGGAAGGCTTACTAACTACTGGAGAGACCAAACTGGCCTACAAGAAAGACCAAATGAAGAACAGAATAGAGGCATGGGAAGACAAAGCACTACATGGCCAATACATGAAAAAAATAGCTGGGAAAGCTGGCAATGGCTAAGAGCAGGAAAATTGAAGAAAGAGACCGAGGGACTAATTCTGGCTGCACAAGACCAAGCCTTAAGGACAAATGCATACAAAGTCAAAATTGAGAAGACAGCAACAGACAGTAAGTGCCGCCTATGCAAAGAAGCTGAAGAAACAGTGGACCACTTGGTAAGCTGTTGCAAGAAGATTGCACAGACTGATTACAAGCAGCGGCATGACAAAGTAGCAACAATGGTGCATTGGAAGATCTGCAAAAAATATCATTTGCCTGTAAGCAAAAACTGGTGGGATCATAAAATAGAGAAAGTCATAGAAAATGATAAAATTAAACTGCTCTGGGACTTCAGAATTCAAACAGACAAGCACCTGCAACATAACACCCCAGACTTAACAATTGTCGATAAGAAAGACAAAAAAGTCTGGATAGTGGACGTGGCAGTGCCTGGAGATAGCAGAATAGAAGAGAAAGAACTGGAGAAGATAACAAAATACAAAGACCTACAAATAGAAATAGAAAGACTGTGGCAAAAGCAAGCAAGGGTAGTACCAATAGTCATAGGCTCCTTGGGTGCAATCCCAAAACACCTGGAGCACCACTTGAACACCATTGGCATTGACAAATTCGCTATTAGTCAATTGCAAAAGGCAGCCTTACTAGGAACTGCTTCCATCCTGCAACGAGATCAGTAATACCCTCAAACATCCACATCCGCCTATCCCGGGTCCTGGGTAAGGACTCGATAGGTAGACAAAATGCCAAATCCAGTCTGAGCATCTGGCTGACTGTGCGATGATCCATAATAATAATAATAATAAAGTTGGAAGGGACCTTGGAGGTCATCAAGTCCAGCCCCCTGCTCAGGTAGGAAATCCTATCTATACCATTTCTTAGGGCCTTCTGGGTCTCCCCTGCCTCTCCTGAACCGTCTTTCCTTCACCCCCCCAGCTCCTGCCCCCCCCTCGCCCCCCCAGCCGGGAGAAGGCCTTCATCTGGCTGACCCCCCAGGCAAGAAGCGAGGCACTGCAGCGGCTGGCAGAAGCGAGGGCCAAGGGCGAGCGCCGGCACCAGCGGGATAAGGAGAGGCAGACCCTGCGGGTGAGCATCCTCTGGGGCCCCCCCCAGCCCCCTGGGACCCTGGGGACCTTATCCTCTCCTCCCCCCTTCTCCTCGGGAACTGGGGTGCCTCTGGCCCAACTGAGTGGCATTTCTCAGAATTCTAGCGCTGGAAGGGATCCTGGAGGTCTTCTAGTCCAACCCCCATTGCCCAAGGCCGGAGATCTTAAAAGCTTCCAGAGTTGGAGCAGCTGCCACAATTTCCACGGAATGATTGTTCTCGTCAGGAAATGCCTCTTCCTTCCAAGCTGGGTCTCTGTCTGATGAACTTCCCCCTATTCATCTCCCTTCCTTCCTTCCTTCCTTCCTTCCTTCCTTCCTTCTTTCCTTCCTTCCTGTTTTCTTCTTTCTATTCCTCCCCCTCCCTTCTTCCCTTCCTTCCTTTCTTCCCTCCCTTCAATCTTTCCCCCTTCCGTCACTTCCTCATTCCCTTCCTTCCTTCCTTCCCTCTCCCTCCCTCCCTCCGTTTTCCTCTTCCTATTCCTTCCTTCCCTCTCCCTCCCATCTTTCCTCCTTCTGTCCTTTCCTTTCCTTCTTTCCTTCCTTCCTGTTTTCTTCTTCCAATCCTTCCCCTCCCATCTTCTCTTCCTTTCTTCCTTTCCTCCCTCCCATCTTTCCCCCTTCCCTGTCACTTCCTTCCTTCCTTCCTTCCTTCTTTCCTTCACCCTCCCTCCATTTTCTTCTTCCTATTCCTTCTTTCCTTGCCCCCTCTCTCCCATCTTTCCTCCTTCCCTGTCCTTTTCTTCCTTCCTTCCTTTTCTTCCTTCCTGTTTTCTTCTTCTTCCAATCCTCCCCCTCCCTTCTTCCCTTCTTCCCTTCCTTCCCCCCTTCCATATTTCCCATTCCATCACTTCCTCCCTCCCTCCCTTCCTTCACTCTCCCTCCTTCCGTTTTCTTCTTCCTATTCCTTCCTTCTCTTTCTCTCTCTCTCTCATCTTTTCTCCCTCCCTCCCTCCCTCCCTTCCTTCTTTCTCCCTCCCTCCCTTCTTTCTAGAATTATAGAATCACCGTGCTGGAAGGGACCTTGGAGGTCTTCTAGTCCAACCCCCTGCTCCAGGAATGAGTCCTCATACATCCAGGATAAATGATGCTCCATTCTTTTCCTGAAACTCTCCGGGGATGGAGCACCCACAACCCCAGGAGGCTGGCTGGTCCAGTGATTGATTGATTGTTCTCACTGTCAGGAAATGCCCCTTATTTCCAAGTTGGGTCTCTCTCTCTCTCTGAGCAGCTTCCGTCCGTTGCTTCGTTGCTTCTTCTCCTGCCCTCGGATGCTTTGGACGATGAATCAACCTCCTCTTTTCTGTGACAGATTCCCCAAAGCCCCTGAAGGCAGGACAAGAAGCAACGGATGGAAACTAATCCAGGAGAGAAGAAACCTGGAAATAAAGAGAAATTTCCTGACAGTGAGAACAATTAACCAGTGGAACAGCCTGCCTCCAGAAGCGGTGAATGCTCCAACACTGGAAGTTTTTAAGAAGAGACTAGACAGCCCTTTGTGTGAAAGGGTATAGGGTTTCCTGCCTGGGCAGGGGGTTGGACTGAGGTCCCTTCCAACTCTGTTATTCTATGATCTATTAAGTCAGTGGTTCTCAACCTTTTTAATGCCGCGACCCCCAACCGGTCGTAAGTCGAGGACTACTCAACCGGTCGTAAGTCGAGGACTACTCAACGGGTGCAGCCCCGTTTGCAGAATGGGACTTTTGGCAGGCTCAGCAGGGCAGAGACAGCCTGGACAATTCCTATTGGCTTTTGAAAGCCAATAGAATTAGACTCTATTCAAGAGAGTCTATTCTATTGGCTTTCAAAAGCCAATAGAATAAAAGGGAGTAGCACAGCTAAGGAAAAGGGGGGGAAAATGGTGGACTGCGTTGTTTGGCGACCCCCGTGAAATGGTCGTTCGACCCCAAATGGGGTCCCGACCCACAGGTGGAGAACTACTGGTCTAGAGGATTGGGGTGCCGGGGGGGGGGCTCTGTTTACAGAAGCTTTGGGGATGGCATCAGCTGCCCCCTAGGAATACTATTACGCCCCTAAAACATGCTGAAAGCAACATGGAGAGAAAAGCTTTCGTCTCTTCAGTTCCAGGAACGGCTCTCCATAGCCAAACGTCGCAGGTCCAAGGAGGATCTCCTGGGAGATGGTCCAGCAGACCGAGGGCCCTGGGCATCGCCAACCTCCGAAGGCCAGGTATGGATTTCCCCACGGGACCAAATTATGGAGGTGATAAAAATTAACTCTGGGGAGGGGGGGAAGAAGGGAGGAAAAGAATCCGAGGTCTTCAGAGCTTAAGAGAAGACTTTACAGCGGGGAATTTGCTCAGCGTGTTTGGGCCGTGTGTGTGTGTGTGTGTGTGTGTGTGTGTGTGTCTGCAGTATTGCTAGCATACCCAAGAAGTTAGTTAATTACTAATAGAAGGGAATATTTGTAGCTGAGGGTGGAATTGTGGGGTCCTTGGTGCTCTCTGAGCCTGGTGGTTTTCTTGCAGATGTTTCATGACCCAATTAGGGAACATCATCAGTGCTAGAAGGGAGTGGGAAGGAGGAGAAGGAGAAGGAAGGAAGGAAGGAAGGAAGGAAGGAAGGAAGGAAGGAAGGAAGGAAGGAAGGAAGGAAGGAAGGAAGGAAGGAAGGAAGGAGAAGAACTGTGGAGTCCCTAGTGCTTTCTGAATTGGGTGGCTTTCTTGCAGACGTTTCATGACCCAACTAGGGAACACCATCAGTGCTAGAAGGAAGTGGAAAGGAGAAGGAGAAGGAGAAGGAGAAGAGGAAGGAAGGAAGGAAGGAAGGGAGGGAGGGAGGGAGGGAGGGAGGGAGTGAAGGAGAAGAACTGTGGGATCCTTGGTGCTCTCTGAGCTGGGTGGCTTTCTTGCAGACGTTTCATGACCCAACTAGGGAACACCATCAGTGCTAGAAGGGAGTGGAAAGGAGAAGGAGAAGAGGAAAGAAAGAAGGAAGGAAGGAAGGAAGGAAGGAAGGAAGGAAGGAAGGAAGGAAGGAAGGAAGGAAGGAAGGAAGCAAGGAAGGAAAGGGAAGGGGAAGAACTGTGGGGTCCTTGGTGCTCTCTGAGCTGGGTGGTTTTCTTGCAGACGTTTCATGACCCAACTAGGGAACATCATCAGTGCTAGAAGGGAGTGGGGTTTGTGAAGAGGAGGAGGAGGAGGAGTGTGGGGTCCTTGGTGTTTCTTAGCTTGGTTGTTTTCTTGCAGACATTTCATGACCTAACTAGAAAACATCATCAGTGCTAGGAGGAGGAGGCGGAGGAGGAGGAGGAAGGTGGTGGTGGTTGTGGAGTCCTTGGTGCTCTCTCAGCTTGGTGTTTTCCCTGCAGTCATTTCATGATCTTGGGGAATTCAGACCCCCAAAGACAAAACATTCCCCACAGCAAATCTATAAGATAGCAAACCTTTAGCCTTATCTCTCTCTTTATGAAGTGGAACCGATTAAAAATCCCACTCCTTTAAGAACTGATTTTCCCCACACCTTGGAGCAGGACCACGGCCAACGGACCCGGATGCCTCCTTCCTAGAGACGGCTGTTCTTTGCACCCATGGGTGGCCACGGGTGACTAATCCTTGGACTTTCTCTTCTGACAGGATGAAGCCGGGCAGAAAATGGCTGTGAGGTCCCACCTGGAGAAGGTCAAGCGAGAACGGACCTACATCATGCAGTCCAAGAGAGAGAGGTGTGGTTGTGTGTGTGTGTGTGTGTGTGTGTGAATGTCTCTGTCGTGGGTTCTTTCCTCAACCCCTCCCAATTCCGCTGACCCAGATTCAAGAGAGGACCCTTGACAGGGTCTTTCCTATATATCTCCCCGTAAGGCAGAGGTGGGGAACGACGGCCGCTTTGTGACTTTGTGGACTTCAACTCCCAGAATTCCTGAACCAGCATGGAGGGCTCAGGAATTCTGAGAGTTGAAGTCTCCGAATCATAAAAGGGCCGTCGTTCCCCACCTCTGCCTTAACGGGGAGATACAAAGGGGTGGGGAAGATTTTGTACTGGGTAGAACCTAGTCTACGAAGTGACACGTAGAAGTCAACTACGTACAAAAAAGATACGTGGGGGTAGAATGTAGAATAACAAGAGTTGGGAGGCACCTGGGAGGTCATCTAGTCCAACCCCCTGCTCAGGCAAGGAACCCTGTACCATTTCAGACAAATGGTTGGCCAATCCTCTGTACTTAAAAACTTCCAGTGTTGGAGCATTCACAACTTCTGGAGGCAAGTTGTTCCACTGTTAGGAAATTTCCTCCTTCGTTCCAGGTTGCTTCTCTATTTATTTATTTATTTATGAGATTTATATACCGCTTTAAGTGCAAGCACTCTCTAAGCGGTGTACACCAGTAAGCAATGTATATATATATATATATTTACATTGCCCCCCACAATCTGGGTCCTCATTTTACCTACCCCGGAAGGGTGGAAGGCTGAGTCAACCTTGAGCCGGTGAGATTTGAACCGCTGACCTGCTGAACACAGTCAGCTCAAGTGGCCTGCAGTACTGCACTCTAACTGCTGCACCACCTCGGCTCTTTGACTAGTTTCTCCTTAAGTTTCCAACTTAACTGATAACAGGTGTATTCTGGCCAGCTCCTGCCCCCAGCGACGTGTGCCTCAACCCCTTGGAAGCCATTGTTGCCCCATCTCTTTCTTTCTCCCTCCCACAGGAACACCCTGAAGTTCAAGGAGCTACTGGACCCACTGGTGGCCCCCAGGGAGGAGAAGCTTACGCTGAGGCAGGCAGAGGAGCTTCAGCAGAGGGCAAACTTCGGTCCTTTAGGATCGCCTGAAGATCAAGTGAAGATGGAGGCTCTGTCTCACATCTCCCACAGGATTCCCAAAGAATAAGTGGGAGGAGGAGGAGGAGGAGGAGGACTATGTGGTATTTGGTGCACTGTGAGCTTGGTGGTTTTCTTGCAGACATTTCATGACCCAGCTATGTTCCATAGTTTTATGACCCAGCTATGTTCCATCATCAGTGCTAGAGGGGTTGAAGGAGAATGAGGAGGACTGTGGGGTCCTTGATGCTCTCTGAGCCTGGTGGTTTTCTTGCAGATGTTTCATGACCCAAATAGGCAACATCATCAGTGCTAGAAGAGAGGAGGGTTTGCAGAGTGGAGGAAAAGAGGAGGAGAAAAGGAGAAGAAGAAGTAGGAGGAGGTGAAAGAGGAGGAGGAGGAGAAAGAAAGGAGGAGGAGAAAGAGAAGAGGAGGAGGAGGAGGAGGAGGAGGAGGAGGAGGAGGAGGAGGAGGAGGAGAAGGAGAAGAAGAAGAAGAAGAAGAAGAAGAAGAAGAAGAAGAAGAAGAAAAGAAGAAGAAGAAGAAGAAGAAGAAGAAGAAGAAGAAGAAGAAGAAGAAGAAGAAGAAGAAGAAGAAGAAGAAGAAGAAGAAGAAGAAGAAGAAGAAGAAGAAGAAGATCACATTTGGTGGACAATCAGAGCAACAATAAAAGGTAGGATGATCATAGCTGGATAAGAATCACCCCATTAATTTATAAAAAGATCAGGAATACTTTGGGTGACCACCTTGCCTTTTTCACTAGTTGTGGTGTTGTTCTTGTTTGCAAGATATCTTCAGCACATCCTTGTTGCCCCTGGGTGGACAATCATTTGTCTTTGTTCGTTGTAAAATGTCCATTCGTACAACACAGCAATTTCGCCCCCCCTTCTGGAAAGCACCAACCAGCATGTAGTTCGGCAGTTTTCCAGAAACACATCTCAAAAGCGGTTTTAGGTCCATCTGAAACTCGACAAACTTCTCCCCCCCCCCCCGAAAAAAACCCCATGTACTTCTGGAAAACCCTCAAACAACATCTGGAACAACCAGATGAGCAAACTCCAGAAGAAATGGACCACCCAGTGTTTCTGGAAAGTCCCGTTGCCAGAACTTTCTCAAGAGGGTTGTAGATGACGTGAAGGTTTTTTTTTGATCCAGGGTGTACCAGGCATTAATTCTAACATGTTCTTGTTGCTGTGTGTTGCCGTCTTATTTCCCAGAATTGTACAACGTGTGTGTCGGAAAAGGTATTTACTCAGTGCAGGAATCCATTAAAAAGCAGTGTTTTTTTCAACCTTGGCCACTTTTAAGACACGTGGACTTCATTTCCCAGAATTCCTCACTCACTTTAGGCGCGTCACGTTGGTGACTGCAATTGTGGACTCAAGTAGTCTGGTCGAAATTCAAGGACGGCTGTCGTGACTTACGACTGAACTCGTGGTCGTAAGTCCAGGACGACCGTCGCAAGGTCCACCTGAATTGAGGAGTCAATGGCAGTCGTAAGTCGAGGATGAGTGTCGTGACTTACGACTGAAAGGGTGGAGTCAATTTATTGGTCCTAAATAGAGGAGGACCGTCCCGACTGAAACTGTGGACTCAGTTGTGGTGATAATTCCAAGGATGATTGTCATGACTTACGACTGAAGTTGTTCATGACGGTCGTTAAGTGGAGGACAATCCCCCATGACTTGCGACTGAAATGGTGGAGTCAATTTATTGGTCCTAAATAGGGGAGGACCGTCCCGACTGAAATCATGGACTCCATTGTGATAATTCAAGGATGATTGTCATGACTTACGACTGAAGTTGTTCATGACGGTCGTTAAGTGGAGGACAATCCCCCACGACTTGCGACTGAAATGGTGGAGTCAATTTATTGGTCCTAAATAGAGGAGGACCGTCCCGACTGAAATCATGGACTCCATTGTGATCATTCAAGGATGATTGTCATGACTTAACGACTGAAGTTGTGCAGTCAATTATGGTTGTAAGCTGAGGACAATCCCCCACGACTTGCGACTGAAATTGCGCAGTCAGTTGTGGTCATCAGTGGAGGAGGACCCACACGACTTAACAACTGTGGATTCAATTACAGTCGTATGTTGAGGACTGACTAGCTGTATGGAAAGCACGTACTTAAAACTTGTACGGGGAGCCTGACATAATATATCACCGCCCAGAGTCGCCTTATAGGGGAGATGGAGGGCAAAAGGAGTTAATAAACAAATAAATAATAAATATCGGTATTTTACATCTCCCTTCCTGCAAGGTTCTACGTAATCCTCAACTTATAACAGTTCATTTAGGGACCAAACTTACAACTGCGCTGAAAAAAAAAGGTGACTTAGGATCCTTTACGTCTGTCACAGTGTCCCCTGTGGTCACGGGATCAAAATTCAGACGCTTGGCAACCGACTCACATTTATGACGGTGGGGAGTCATGTGATCCCCGTTTTGCAACCTTCTGACGAGGCTAAGTCCACGGGGGAAAGTAGGGTTCGCTTAACGATCGTGTGACTACAACTGCCGCGATTTACTTCACAGGAAGGAAGGTTGTAAAATGGAGCAAAACTCACTTCACTGTCCCACTTAGCGACAGAAACTGTGGGCTCAATTGTGGTCATAGGTCGAGGACTTCCTGTCACGCCCCCACCCCCCAATAATGTTTGTACTGCCGTTGTCTAACAATGCAACGGCCCACGGAACGAAACCCTGGAAGACGAGTTTTGAATCCCGTCTTAACAGTCTACATCTGGAGACCCTAGTACAGTGGTTCTCAACCTGTGGGTCAGGACCCCATTTGGGGTCGAACGGCCATTTCACGGGGGTCGCCAAACAACGCAGTCCGCCATTTTTTCCCCCTTTTCCTTAGCTGTGCTACTCCCTTTTATTCTATTGGCTTTTGAAAGCCAATAGAATAGACTCTCTTGAATAGAGTCTAGTTCTATTGGCTTTCAAAAGCCAACAGGAATGGTCCAGGCTGTCTCTGCCCTGCTGAGCCCGCCAAAAGTCCCAGTCTGCAAACGGTGCTGCACCCGTTGAGTAGTCCTCGACTTACGACCGGTTGAGTAGTCCTCGACTTACGACCGGTTGGGGGTCGCGGCATTAAATAGGTTGAGAACCACTGCCCTAGTAGGATGACACTACCCCCCCTGGGGCCAGAATCCTCCTGGCCTAGGAGGACGGTTGTTAAGCGAGTCACGCACCTCCCCAAGAGGACAAGAGAGAGCTACGCGACGCCCTTCTCTCCATTGTCCAAACCTGCCCTGCCTTGGATGGATGGTTCTAGAACAGATCATCCTGACGCCACCTTAGATGCTGGCCAAGGAAGGAGACGGGCACCAAAGTAATCCAATAGTCTTGGTTTCTGTGGAACTGGCACTCAGAGGGCCACATCGCGAGGATGCAGCAGAGAGAAGGCGCCGTTCTTTCGGAAGAAGCTGTCGGTGCGGGTCTTGGCTGTGGGGGCCACGTGGAAGGCGGCCATTTTCCCTGGAAGACACAAAGGAGATATGACGGGAGACAAAGAAGACAAGGCAGCCGTGTGGCCCCTTTGAGGGGAAAGTCCTTCCCAAAAGCGGGCCTGAGAGACCTGAGGTCAGTGGTTCTCAACCTTTTTAATGCTGCAACCCCCCAACCGGTCGTAAGCCGAGGACTACCAAACCGGTCGTAAGTCGAGGACTACTCAACTGGTGCAGCACCGTTTGCAGACTGGGGCTTTTGGCGGGCTCAGCAGGGCAGAGACAGCCTGGACAATTCCTATTGGCTTTTGAAAGCCAATAGAATTAGACTCTATTCAAGAGAGTCTATTCTATTGGCTTTCAAAAGCCAATAGAAGAAAAGGGAGGAGCACAGCTAAGGAAAAGGGGGGAAAAATGGCGGACTGCGTTGTTTGGCGACCCCCGTGAAATGGTCGTTCAACCCCCAAATGGGGTCCCGACCCACAGGTTGAGAACCACTGCCTTAGGTGGACAGGGCTAGGAGAAGACCAAGGAGAGGCTTATAGAATCGTGGGACCTCGGAGGTCTTCTAGGCCAACCCCCTGCTCAAGGCAGGAAGGTAGCAGGCATGTCAAACTGGCGATGTCGTGCGACGTATTGGAGCTTTTTCGCCATGGCCGGCAATGGGGTGGGCGCGGCTCCAGTATGATGGAACTGTCCCGCGGGCCAGCACTTTGACACCCCTGCCCTATACCATTTCAACAAGTGGCTGCCCAGTCTCTTCTTAAAAGTGTTGGAGCACCCATAACGTCTGGAGGCAAGCAGTTCCACTGGTTGATTTCTCCTGAGTTCCAGGTTGCTTGTCTCCTTGATGAGTTTCCATCCGTTGCTTCTTGTCCTGCCTTCAGGCGCCTTGGAGAAGAGGCTGAACCCTCCCCTTCTTTGGGGCAGCCCCTCAAATACTGGAACGCTGCTATCATGTCCCCCCTACTCCTTCTTTTCATTAAACTACTAGACCTACCCAATTCTTCGTATGTTTTAGCCTCCAGTCCCCTAACCATCTTTGTTGCTCTTCTCTGTACTCTTTCTAGAGTCTCAACATCTTTTTTACTTCGTGGTGACCAAAACTGGATGCAGCATTCCAAGTGTAGCCTTCCCAAGGCCTTGTAAAGCGGTATTAACCCTTCACATGATCTCGATTCTATCCCTCTGTGAATGCAGCCTAGCACTGTGTTGGCTTTTTTGGCAGCTGCCGCACACGGCTGGCTCCGATTTAAGTGATCGTCCACTAGGACTGCGCGATCCCTCTCCCAGTTGCTACTGTTGAGCAAGGTACCCCCTACTCTGTACAAGCACATTTGGTTTTTCTAAATGTAGAACCTTAATTTTTTTTCCCCATTAAATTTCATTTTGTGAGCCACATACCCCGTTCGACCTCTGTGCGTTTGGTGTTTCCTGCCCAAAGTCCGGATCGTGTTTTTCGCACCACTGGCCTGCATTTTGGTTGCCTCCGGACAGATCCTCCCCACAGTCCACTTGCATGCATCCCCGTAGGCGCCCTCCCCATCCTTCCTGCCCACCCACCCACTCACCCATCTGCCAGCCGTAGGTGAAGTTGGTGGTGATGGGGAAGGTGTACTTCTCCTCCGGCGCGACGAGAAGGCGCATCTTCAAGTAGCGGTAACGTCCCTCGTCCTCGTGGGAGATTCCCTGATACAGAAGGTTGCGCACTTCGCGAGGAGCCGGCTTCATCTCCATCTCCAAAAGGGCCGTGTCCAGTCCGGTCAGGTCACGTTCCCGGGCCAGCAGCTGGACCAGCTTGGGCGGGGGTGGAGGGAGGGGTGGAGGGGGAGAGCTGGGTTTGACCGGGGGCGGGGGGCGGATGGAGGGCAGGCGGAGGGTGGTGTCCTCGGCCTTCTTGCGCCGTTCCCGTAGGCTCTCCTGCTTGGCTTTGACCAGGGCCCCGTACTTCTGGTGCCAGGCGAAGCGTAGCATGATCTCTTTCTGATATTCTTCCTTCCAGAAGTTCTGCTGAAGCGTGTCCATGTTGAGCGGACGCGCCATGGCTGAGCGGGACGAGAAGGTAGCCCTGCCCGGCTACCCACGAGACTTATCTGACCGGGACCGCAGATGCCAGCTTCCCTTCTTAAGCCCTCTTCTCGTAGCGGCATAGAGACAAGCTCCCGGGTGGTCTTCCTTTCAGCTGTAAGGGTGGGAGTGCGATGTTCTGGATGGACTACAGGGGTGGCCATCAAATTGGGTGAGCTGCTGCTACTTCACAGCTGCAAGCACAGCCTCTTGTGAGGTCACCTTGCCCTGTCCTCCTCCAGGAGGGAGAGGAAAGAGGCAGGCCACCCTGAGAATCTCAACCAGGAGGGCCCAAAACCATGGCCTCCCCATCATCAGTGGTCCCTTGAATTGGCTCAGGCCATTTTCCACTGTTGGTAGCCGAGCCAAGCCTTTGTCTGGAGGGATACAGGGTCTCCTGGTAGAGCAGGAGGTTGGATTAGGTGGTCTCCGAGGTCCCTTTCAATCCTGTTATTCTATGTTCTAAACCAGGGACCCTCCACGCCTGTCAGGTTTATGGCCTTTGACTCCTAGAAATCCTCAGCCAGCAGGGTCTCCAAACTTGGCAACTTTTAAGAAGGAAGGAAGGAAGGAAGGAAGGAAGGAAGGAAGGAAGGAAGGAAGGAAGGAAGAAAGGAGGGAGGGAAGGAAGGAAGGAAGGAAAGAGGGAGGGAGGGAGGAAGGAAGAAAGGAAGGAAGGAAGGAAGGAAGGAAGGAAGGAAGGAAGGAAGGAAGGAAGGAAGGAAGGAAGGAAAAAAAGGAAAGGGAAAGAAAGGAGCAAAAGAAAGAAGGAAAGGAAGGAAAATGTGCTTAAAATAAATAAAAATTTATTTTGAAGAAAAAAGGAAAGAAAGAAAAAGAAAGAGAAAGGAAGGAAGGAAGGAAGGAAGGAAGGAAAATGTGCTTAAAATAAATGAAAATTTATTTTGAAGAAAAAAGGAAAGGAAGAAAAAGAAAGAGAAAGGAAGGAAGGAAGGAAGGAAGGAAGGAAAATGTGCTTAAAATAAATGAAAATTTATTTTGAAGAAAAAAGGAAAGGAAGGAAGGAAGGAAGGAAGGAAGGAAGGAAGGAAGGAAGGAAGGAAGGAAGGAAGGAAGGAAGGAAGGAAGGAAAGAAAGAAAGAAAGAAAGAAAGAAGAAAGAAAGAAAGAAAGAAAGAAAGAAAGAAAGAAAGAAAGAAAGAAACCCTTCACCTAGATCCCTGAATGATTCAGATAGCTTATGAATTGAACTAATCAAGAAAACCGCATCAATGCTTGAGGTCTGAATTGCGTTGTCATGTAAGGCCACAGTGAACCACAAACCACGAGAAATCGTACCAACCCAAGAACACAGACCGAGTCGCCCATTTCAGCATGAGAGGCTGGTTGGCAGACAGCAGCCAGGAAGTGACCCACCAGCGCGTGCAAGGATTGGCACCCTCCACTTCCCCATGGGGGGGAGAGATTGCAGGGAAAGAGTGAGCCCACAACGGCCGGGGCTGAAAAGAGCTTGCTGAGTCAGAGACACAAAATGCAGGGTGGAAAGAGAACCATCTTTCATCTGAATCGCCTCCCACTTCACCCAAATTGAGCACGCCGAGACCAAAATCAAAGAGAAATCAGTTTTATTAATAACTTCTTCCAGCCGACAGGCCAAGTTGCTTCCATTAACAGACAAGGTTGCTTCCATTAACAGACAAGGTTGCTTCCAAGACACCAGACATTGCAACTGCTAGTAGATATCACTCTGTAGGCAGCGTAGGGTTGAAAAAGAGGATCGGACTCTTCCAGTTTGGGGGCCTAGACCCCCCAGACATCCCCCAGATGAGCCATGTGAAGCCCCTAAGCCAGGGTTTCTCAACTCGGCCACTTTAAGAGGCGTGGACTTCAACTCCCAGAATTCCCCAGCCAGCCTTGAAATCCACACATCTGAAAGTGGGCTGACACTGAGAACACTAAATTGGATTGTGCAATGTCAACCGTGGCCACTTGGAAGACGTATGGACTTCAACTCCCAGAATTCCCTAGCCAGCCGTGCTTAAGAACCCTGCTGCCTAGGGAATTCTGGGAGTTGAAGTCCCGCATCTTCAAGTGGCTAAAGTTGAGAAATACCAACTTGGATTGTGGAATTTCAACCTTAACCACTTGAAGATGTATGGACGACAACTCCCAGAATCCCCCAGCCTGCCACATTCAGAATTCCTGCTGGCTGAGGAATTCTGGGAGTTGAAGTCCACACTCACCCATCTTCAAGCAGCAAGGCTGGGAAACCAGGAGCCAGGCTGAAGAAGACTCAAAATGGTTCATCGGAGGAGAACTTCCTTCTAGCCAACCCACGGTCAAGGGGACAACTCGGTCCTTGGAAGGGAGGCAAAACTTTGGAACAATTTTCATCTGGATTGTAAATCCTCTGGGAGACAGATGTTTGGGTATTGCACTAGGAAACAGACAGACAGACCAGCTTCTCCAAGGCATCAAGCCAGGATATCCCAGCTTAACTTCAAACCCATTTGGGGGGTTCCATCCTCAAGGAAAGGGCTTAAATAGCAGGAAGTAGGAGGACAGGGAGAAGAAACAGAGAACTTGGGCTGAAGTACCGCTAAATCAGGGGCCTTCAAACTTGGCCCTCTGATGACTTGTGGACTTCAACTCCCAGAATTCCTCAGCCAGGCACGTGTATGCTGGGAGTTGAAGTCCACAAGTCATCAAAGGGCCAAGTTTGAAGACCCCTGTTCTAGATCTGTGTTGAGGAGCATAACTGCTGGTGAAGAACAAGGATCAAAGTAGGACATGGAAAGGCAACCAGGACAATTCTGGCCCCAGAGAAATATGGGGGACGCAACCTGGGTCCCATGGAGAAAATGGAGAGAGGGGTGTCTTCTTCAAAGCACCCCAGATGAAAGGGAAGTGGGCACCACGCCACCAGCGTTGAAGTCCACCCGTCTTACGAGGTTGAGAAACCCCGGATTGGATGGTGGAACCTCACGCTCCATCTTGGCCACTGGAAGACCTGTGGACATCAAACTCCCAGAATCCCCCAGCCAGCCGCGCTTAGAACCAGGGTTCTTCCATGGTTCCTGACTCCAATGAGGTCAACAGGAGGGGAGGAACAGCAGCCTGGACACTCAAAAGGGCCGAAGGAGAAGTCTCCAACGCAGACGCGTTCCTCCGCACGACGAGGAGCGGAAGGTGAAGAACCGGAAGGCAACACGAGGAGAGGCAGAGGAAGAGGTGACCACCGCGAAGTAGTAGAAGTCGGCCCGGGTCGGGAGTGGACTCTCCAGGCCACCTACCGCAGGTCTTCGGCAGTGAACATGCCCTTGGCCCGGCGTAGGATGGAGTCCTTGGAGGCGTCGTAGGGGTGCTCCTTGGACGGGATCTCCAGCACGGCGGGCAACGACTTGGTGTGCGCGTCAATGACGTGGCGGATCATCTCCGCGATGAACTGGTTGATGAGGACGATGCCGATGTCCTCGCGGGCCAGGAAGCCCCTGCAGGCGGAGGGGAAGTGGGACGGAGGAGTTACAAGGGGTCTGGCTCTTGGGGGCTTCCCCCACCGCTGCTACTGGGGCTGCCCTTACTACTGGGGTTCCCACTGGGGCAACTCCTCCAGCTCCCTGGGGTTCCACCTTCTATTACTGGGGCTCCCTCTACTACTAGAGCAACTACTAGGGCTCCCTCTACTACTGGAGCTACCATTGGGGCTCCCTTTACTATTGGGGCTACTACTGGAGCTCCATCTACTATTGGGGCTACTCCATCAGCTCTTTGGGGCTCCCCCTACTACCGGGGCTACTACTGGGACTCCACAAACTCCTTGGGGCTCCACCTACTACTGGGGCTATTGGGGCTTCCTCTACTACTAGGGCAATTACTAGGACTCCCTCTACTCCTGGGCTACTATTGAGATTTCCTCTACTACTAGGGCAATTACTGGGCTCCCATTAATACTGGAGCTACCACTGGGGCTCCCTTTACTATTGGGGCTACTCCATCAGCTCTTTGGGGTTCCCCCTACTACCGGGGCTACTACTGGGACTCCACAAACTCCTTGGGGCTCCACCTACTATTACTGGGGCTAATATTGGGGCTTCCTCTACTACTAGGGCTATTACTAGGACTCCCTCTACTATTGGGGCTAATATTGGGGCTTCCTCTACTACTAGGACTCCCTCTACTATTGGGGCTACTACTGACGCTCCCTCTACTCCTGTACTAGGGCTCCCTCTACTACAAGGTGACTCTTGGCGGCTTACAGATGATGGGAACAAAACATAATAAACAAGATTAAAAGGAACCAAAGATAGACTTTATCTACAGGAAGAAAACACCATAAATATTATTCTGGGAAGCAGCTGCCGAATTCACACAGGAGCAGAATGTTCCCAAAACAATTCAGTCTTTTTCAACCTCAGCCACTTTATGATGTGTGGACTACAACTCCCGGGGTTCCCCAGCCACCACATCCCTACGATTGAGAGACCGTGATTTAATTACTGATTCCGAACTTAAAGCAGGATACCCGCACCACCCAGACTTCCTCCGAAGAGCAAATGAGGAATTTCCCGAATTGGGGAAATATTTTCTTCCGGGAGGGAAAACTATTCAACAGGCACAAAGGCCGGGCAGGGACCGAATCCTGCCTCCTTTATGTCTCCTGCTCCCTCAAGGTCACGGAGGACAAGGGCAGGTCCTTCCCAGGGAACCCGACCTGCAAAAAGCAGCCAACGCTGGATTTTTTGTGTTTGTGGGCAAACAAAGCACCGGCTGAGTCCAAGGCCTTCTCAGATTTTGCAAAGAGGTGTCTACAGGATCATGCTGGCCAATTCTAACCATGACCAGCAAGCCCAACAGGGAGGAAATTTAAAGGTGGAGACTGCACAGAAACCCCCTGGATGAGGAATTCTGGGAGTTGAAGTCCACCAGTCATCAAAGGGCCAAGTTGGAAGACCCCTGTCTTAAAGCTAACAAACAAAATGGAGGCTGGCTGAGGAATTCTGGGAGTTGGAGTCCACCAGTCATCAAAAGGCCAAGTTGGAAGACCCCTGTCTTAAAACTAACAAACAAAATGGAGGCTGGCTGAGGAATTCTGGGAGTTGAAGTCCACAAGTCATCAAAGGGCCAAGTTTGAAAACAAAATGGAGGTTGGCTGAGGAATTCTGGGAGTTGAAGTCCACCAGTCATCAAAGGGCCCAGTTTGAAGACCCCTGCTCTAATTGACTTACAATGGTCTTTTAGGGACTGTTCAAAGTTACACCGGCACTGAAAAATGTGACTGTTTTTCACACTTACGCCCGTTGCAGCATCCCCGTAGATGCACGATCAAAGTAGGCAACTGACTCATACTTACGACAGTCACAGCATCCTGGGGTCGTGTGATTCCCCTTTTTGCCACCT